CAGTAACATACTGTACGATCAAAGCTTTCTAGTGCAACTTGAAACCCAGCATTGTGATGCCCCTGGCTCTGCTTTTCTTTTTTAATATCCCCATGGCTATTCAGGGTCTTTTCTGATTCCATACAAATCTTAAGATGATTTGTTCCAACTCTCTGAAGGAAGTCCATGGTATTTTGATAGGGATTGCATTAAATGTGTAAATTGCCCTGGGTAGGATTGACATTTTCACAATGTTAATTCTTCCAATGCATAAGCATGGAATATTTTTCCATCTCTTTGTGTCTTCCTCAATTTCTTTCAGAAGTGTTCTGTAGTTTTTAGGATATGGGTCCTTTACCTCTTTGGTTAGGTTTATTCCTAGGTATCTTATGCTTTTGGGTACAATTGTAAATGGGATTGGCTCCTTAATTTCTCTTTCTTCAGTTTCACTGTTAGTGTATAGAAATGCCACTGATTTCTGTGCATTGATTTTGTATCCTGCCACACTGCCAAATTGCTTTATGAGTTCTAGCAATCTTGGGGTGGAGTCTTTTGGGTTATCTATGTACAGTATCATGTCATCTGCAAAGAGGGAGAGTTGGACTTCTACTTTGCCAATTTGCCTTTTATTTCTTTTGGTTGCCTGATTGCTGAGGCTAGGACTTCTAATACGATGTTGAATAGCAGTGGTGAGAGTGGAAATCCCTGTCTTGTTCCTGATCTTAGGGGAAAGGCTCCCGGTATTTCCCCATTGAGAATGATATTTGCTGTGGTCTTTTCGTAGATGGCTTTTAAAATGTTGAGGAATGTTCCCTCTATCCCTACACTCTGAAGAGTTTTGATCAGGAATGGATGCTGTATTTTGTCAAAAGCTTTCTCTGCATCTATTGAGAGGATCATATGGTTCTTGTTTTTTCTCTTGTTGATATGATCTATCATGTTGATTGCTTTATGAGTGTTGAACCAGCCTTGCATCTCCGGGATAAATCCCACTTGATCATGGTAAATATTTTTAATAAATTTATTTTTTATTGGTGTTCAATTTGCCAACATATAGAATAACACCCAGTGCTCATCCCATCAAGTGCCCTCCTCAGTGCCCATCACCCTCACCCCCTGCCCACCTCCCCTTCCACCACCCCTAGTTCGTTTCCCAGAGTTAGGAGTCTGTCATGTTCTGTCACGCAAATGGTGGGTACTTGTCATTTCTAATGGCTGAGTAATATTCCATTGTATACATAAACCACATCTTCTTTATCCATTCATCTTTTGATGGACACTGAGGCTCCTTCCACAGTTTGGCTATTGTGGACATTGCTGCTATAAACATCGGGGTGCAGGGGTCCCAGCATTTCATTGCATCTTTATCTTTGGGGTAAATCCCCAGCACTGCAATTGCTGGGTTGTAGGGCAGATCTATTTATAACTCTTTGAGGAACCTCCACACATAATCTTCTTAATGTACTGTTGGATCCTATTGGCTAGTATCTTATTGAGAATTTTTGCATCTGTGTTCATCAGGGATATTGGTCTATAATTCTCCTTTTTGGTGCGGTCTTTGTCTGGTTTTGGATTAAGGTGATGCTGGTCTCATAGACTGAGTTTGGAAGTTTTCCAACCCTTTCTATATTTTGGAACAGCTTTAGTAGAATAGGTATTGTTTCTTCTTTAAATGTTTGATAGAATTCCCCTGGGAAGCCATCTGTCCCTGGACTTTTGTGTCTTGGGAGGTTTTTGATGACTGGTTATCAGCCTGTTCAGGTTTTCTATTTCTTCCTGTTCCAGTTTTGGTAGTTTTTGGTTTTCCAGAAATGCGTCCATTTCTTCTAGATTGCCTAATTTATTGGCATATAGCTGCTCATAAGTTTTTAAAATCGTTTGTATTTCCTTGGTATTGGTGGTGATCTCTCCTTTTTCATTCATGATTTTATTAATTAGAGTCTTTTTTTGTTTTTAATAAGGCTGGCTAATGGCTTATCTATCTTATTAATTCTTTCAAAGAACCAACTCCTGGTTTTATTGATTCTACAGTTCTTCTGGTCTCTATTTCATTTAGTTCTGCTTGAATCTTCATTAATTCTCTTCTTCTGCTTGGTGTAGGTTTTATTTGCTGTCTTTTTCCAGTTCCTTTAGGTGCAGGGTTAGCTTGTGTATTTGAGGTTTTTCCAATTTTTTGAGGGATGCTTGTATTGTGATGTGTTTCCCTCTCAGGACTGCTTTTGCTGTATCCCAAAGATTTTGAATGGTTGTATCTTCATTCTTATTAGTTCCCATGAATCTTTTAAATTCTTCTCTAATTTCCTGGTTGACCCTTTCATCTTTTAGCAGGATGGTCTTTAACCTCCACGTGTTTGGGTTTCTTCTTAATTTCTTCTTGTGATTCAAGTTTCAAAGCATTATGGTCTGAAAATATGCAGGGGACAATCCCAATCTTTTGGTATCACTTGAGGCCTGATTTGTGACCCAGTATGTGGTCTATTCTGGAGAAAGTTCCATGTGCACTTGGGAAGAATATGTATTCAGTTGCATTTGTATGTAAGGTTCTGTAAATATCTGTGAAATCCATCGGGTCCAGGGTATCATTTAAAGCTCTTGTTTCTTTGATGTTGTGCTTGAAGATCTGTTATTTGCAGAAAGCACCATGTTGAAGTCTCCCACTATTAGTGTATTATTACCTAAGTATGTCTTTATTTTGGTTATTAATTGATTGATATACTTGGTAGTTCTCACATTAGGGGCATAAATATTCATGATTGTTAGGTCCTCTTGATGGATAGATCCTTTAAGTATGATATAGCATCCCTCTTCATCTCTTACTACAATCTTTGGCATAAACTTTAATTTATCTGATATGAGGATTGCTACCCCTGCTTTATTTTGAGGACCATTTGACTGGTATATGGTTCTCCAACCTTTCATTTTCAGGCTGGAGGTGTCCTTAGGTCTAAAATGAGTCTCTTGTAGACAGCAAATAGATGGGTCTTGCTTTTTTTATCCAGTCTGAAACCCTGTGTCTTTTGACGGGATCATTAAGCCCATTCACGTTCAGAGTTACTATTGAAAGATATAGATTTAGTGTCATCATAATACCTATTCAGTCCCTGTTTTTGTGGCTTATTTCTTTGGCAGTCCCCTTTCTTTTACAGAGTCCCTCTTAATATTTCTTGCAGAGCTGGTTTGGTGATCACATATTCTTTCAGTTTCTGCCTATCTTGGAAGCTCTTTATCATTCCTTCTATTCTGAATGAGAGCCTTGCTGGATAAAGTATTTTTGGCTGCATGTTCTTCCTATTTAGGACCCTGAATATATCCTGCCAGCCCTTTCTGGCCTGCCAGGTCTCTGTGGAGAGGTCTTGTGTTAACCTAATACTTCTCCCCATAAAGGTTAGGGATCTCTTGTCTCTTGCTGCTTTAAGGATTTTCTCTTTATCTTTGGAATTTGTAAGTTTCACTATTAAATGATGGGGTGTTGAACAGTTTTCAATTTTAGGGGGGATCTATCTCCTGGATCTGAATGCCTGTTTCCCTCCCCTAATTAGGGATGTTCTCAGCTATGACTTGTTCAAATTCACTTTCTGGTCCTCTGTCCCTCTCGGTGCCCCCTGGAACCCCAATTAAATTTAGATTTTTCCTTTTGAAACTGTCATTTATTTCCCTTAACCTTTCCTCATGATCTTTTGTTTTTCTCTTTTTTCCTCAGCTTCCTTCCTTGCCATCAACTTGTCTTCTATGTCACTCACTCTTTCTTCCACCTCATTAACCCTCATCGTTATTACCTCGGGTTTGGATTGCATCTCATTTAATTGATTTTTAATTTCGGCCTGATTAGATCTAAATTCTGCAGTCATGAAGTCTCTTGAATCCTTTATGCTTTTTCCAGAGCCACCAGTAGCTTTATAATTGTGCTTCTGAATTGGCTTTCTGACATCGAATTGTAATCCAAATTCTGTAACTTTGTGGCAGAGAGTGCTGTTTCTGATTCTTTTGTGGTGAGTTCTTCTTTATAGTCATTTTGCTCAGTGCAGAGTGGCTAAAAACGAGCTGTACTGGGAAAAGGAAGAAACAAAAAGAAAAAGAAAAAAACGAGGAGTATCCTCTGGTTCTATATACTGTAAATCCCTCAACTTTCCCTGGAGCTTTCCAGCACTGCTCGGTCAAGAACTTGCTCTTCCCATGTCCTTCCAGCTGGTCTTCGCGGGGAGGGGCCTGCTGTGCTGATTCTCAGGTGTGTGTACCTGGGGGAGCTGCCCCGCCCCCTGCCAGGTGCACGGCTCAGTGGGAGCTGTTTACCCCGTGAGGACCCTGTTCCATGGCGTCCCCGCTCTGTCCCAGGCACAGAGTGACACCAGGAGGAACAACCACAATGGCAGCAGCCAGCTCTCCAGTTCTAGAGTCAGCTCCAGCAGTAACTACCGCAGTCTCCTAGTCCACATTGGCCTGGATGCTCCGGGGGCAGGGGGCACTGAGCTGCACAGCTTGGGGGTGCCCGGCAGCAGGAGAGTCCTCACTGTCCTGTGCACTTCCCGCCTCCGCCTGTCCCGGGGGTAGCACAGGATCCTGGGCTGTGCCCCCGGTGACCTCGGATCCGGGGCCTGCTCTTCTGGAATCGCGCTACTCGGGCCGCTGCTCCCGAAGGCAGCAGGGCGCAGCCCCTTCGGCCCAGAACCCCCACCCACCCACCGGTTTCTCCCCAAGGCCCCGCCGGGCGCACCAGCCCTTTACTGCGCTCGGCCCGCGGGGTGTGGGTCGCTCTCCCCTGGGCGCACATCCTATGTTAGTGACTCCAAGAGACTGAAGGCCCCACTTCCTCTCCTGCGGCTCTGCCCGGGTTCCCTGCTGAGCACCTTTCCCTCTGGGAAGAATCTGGTGCAGATTTTTAAAGTTCCTGCTTCTCCGGGGTGGGGCTTTCCTGTCCTGGAGGCTTTCACCCACCGGCCTTAGCCCGGTTCCTCGCGAGGCTCCTCCCCCACTTGATTCTTTTTATTCCCCCCTCCCCACCCCACCCCGTCCCGCCTTCGTACCTTGTTAGAAGACAAACTCTTCTCACTGTAGCATTCCAGCTGTTCTCTCTTTAAATCTCAGGTCGAGTTCGTAGGTTTTCAGGATGATTTGAAAGTTACCTAGGTAAGTTGGTAGGGACAGGTGACTTGGGGACCCTACTCCTCTGCCATCTTGCCCCTTTTGTTTGGTTTTTAATAGCAGCCATCCTAATGGGTGTGAGGTAGCATCTCACTGTGTTTTTGATTTGTATTTCTCTAATGATTAGGCATACTGGGCATATTTTCATACGCTTATTGGCCATTTGCATATCTTCTGGGCAGAAAAGTCTGTTCCAGTCCTTTAACCATTTTGAAAAAAGGATGTTTCTTCATTTTTAAACTCCTTGTGTGTATAATTATGTCCCAATTTTTCCTTTTAATAATGTTTGTGTTTTTTCTTTCCTTTTTTTTTTTTTCGTGGCCAACCCAGCCAGAGAATTAGTTGTTTTGTTAATATTTACAAACACAACCAGCTTCTGGTTTTGATGATTTCTAAAATGTACTTTTTTCTCCCCCACTTCATTTATTTATGCTTTATCTTAATTATTTCCTTTCTTCTTTCTTGGGGATTTCCTCTGTTGTTATTTTTCTAACTCTTTTACTTAGACACTATAGAAATAGAAAACTGTAAGTTCCACAATTGCTAACTCAATGTATTTACAAAAATATAAATGAAGTCAGGGACTATTGGCAAGCCTCAGTTAACAGCATGAAAGAACTCTGAAAGCAAAGACAACTCTTTAAGGTATTTTGAAAAGACAAATCATACTATGATTATAATTAAAAGATCAATAAGGAAAAGGTCTCTAAATCTTTAATATCTATTCTTACAAAGTTTAATTTATATCTATCCTATTCTTTTTTCTTGAGATAGAAAATGTGAGCAGGGAGTGGAGAGGAACAGAGGGAGAGGGAAAATCTTAAGCAGACTCCACGCTCAGCAAAGAGCCCCACGTGGGGCCCAATCTCACAACCAGGAGATCACACCTAAACCAAAATCAAGAGTAAAGGGACACCTGGGTGGCTCAGCAATTGAGCATCTGCCTTTGGCTCAGGGCATGATCCTGGGGATCCAGGATCAAGTCCCACATCTGGCTCCCTGCATGGAGCCTACTTCTCTCTCTACCTGTGTCTCTACCTCTCTCTCTCTCTCTGTGTATCTCTTATGAAATAAATAAAATCTTAAAAAAAAAAATCAAGAGTCAGGTGCTTAACCAACTGAACCACCCAGGTGCTCTTATCCTTATGCTTTATCTTGTCATTATATGTAATCAATGTTCTAAGTCATGATGAAATGCTTATTTTAATAATTCCGAAGTACATATAATTTATAACTTTGAGTCTATATGTGATTGCTATAGCAAAGGGAGATTTTTTAAAAATAATTGTTATAGAAAAGGTGTATGTTCATTAAAGATGTAAACTGTATTTGTTATAAGAGATTGGTTTTCTTCCTGATAGGGCATTATGTCTTTATGTGCTAATCAACAAAATTACTTAAAAGAATGATAAAAATTATTTTAAACATTCAAAACATAGGGGCTTCTGGTTGGCTCAGTCAGTTAAGCATCCAGCTTTTGATTTCAGCTCAGGTCATGATCTCAGGGTCATGAGGTAGAGCACCACATGAGGCTCCAAGCTCAGCAGGGAGTCAGCCTGAGATTTTCTTTCTCTTCCTCTCCTTCTGGCTCTCCCCCCACTGGCAGTCTCTCTCCTTTCAAATAAATAAATAAATCTTTTGTAAGATTTCAAAACATAAAGAGGACATTTATCCTTGTAAAACCAATTTTATAATTAAAAAATAAAGTGATTGCAGCATTTGAACCTTAAAATACACTGCAAGAAAAAAATAAAATAAAATAAAATAAAAATACACTGCAAGATCTTCTTTTACTTAACAAAACTTAGTTCATTAACTCCAGTATTCTTCCTTTGTAATTTAGGAATTTAAAGCTGTAAATGTCCATCTAAGACAATCTAGATGCATCCTCAAGATTTGATATATTTTTGTTACATTCACTCCACTCTAAATATTTTCTGATTTCTATGATGGTATAATTACTAACTTATTAGCTAATTATATGAATATTTTAAAAAAATTTTAAACACAAACTTTTATTTTTGTCATTTTCTAACTTCTCAGAATGATCATCAGAGAACATGGTCTGTTTCATAACCTATTCTGAAAGCTAAAGTTCATCTTAAGACCTAGTATGTGGAGAATTTTTTTTAATGTTCTATATGCACTGGAAATGAACACACAGTGTTCTGTATGTGTTCATTATGCATTGTCTTGCTCAAATCATATATAACTTTAACATGTTTTAATTTGCCTGATCTATGAAGGGCTGTGTATGTATATTAAAATATCCTACAGGGGATCCCTGGGTGGCGCAGCGGTTTGGCGCCTGCCTTTGGCCCAGGGCCCAATCCTGGAGACCCGGGATCAAATCCCACGTCAGGCTCCTGGTGCATGGAGCCTGCTTCTCCCTCTGCCTGTGTCTCTGCCTCTCTCTCTCTCTCTCTGTGTGACTATCATAAATAAATAAAAATTAAAAAATAAAATAAAATAAAATATCCTACAATAATAGCTCTATCATTTCTCTCCAGTAATTTTATAAATCTTTTAGTATTTCTACGCTATATTACAATACTCAAAGTTGGTATCCCTACAATCACTATTTGCCTTAAATATCATTTTGTCTGATATTAATTTGCTATACTGGTATGGTCTTTGGCATTGATCAAAACATTCCAGGCTGACTGGTTAGATTAAGATTATGTTTCTGAGGGTGCCTGGCTGGCTCAGTTGGTAGAGCATGCAATTTCTTTTTTTAAGATTTTTATTTATTTGAGAGAAAGAGAGAGAGAGAGAGCACATAAGCAGGGGGGGGGAGAGGCAGAGGGAAAAGGAGAAGCAGATTCCCTGCTAAGCAGAGATCCCAATGTGGGGCTCAATGTCAAGACCCAGGTATCACGACCTGATCTAAAGGCAGATGCTTAACCAACTGAGCCACCCAGGTGCCCTGAATATGCACTCTTGATCTGGGGATCATGCGTTCAAGCCCCAGGTAGGGTATGGAGATTACTTAATAAATAAAATCTTTAAGGGCACTGGGTTGGCTCAGGTAGTTGAGCAACTGACTTTTTTTTTGTTTAAGATTTTATTTATTTATTCATGAGAGACAGAGAGAGAGAGAGAGAGGCACAGACACAGGCAGAGGGAGAAGCAGGCCCCATGCAGGGAGCCTGAGGTAGGACTCGATCCCCGGGTCTCCAGGATCACACTCTGGGCTGAAGGTGGCGCTAAACCATTGAGCCACCCGGGCTGCCTGCAACTGGCTCTTAATTTCAGTTTAGGTCATGATCTCACAGTCTCGGGATTGAGCCCCTCATTGGACTCAGTGCCAAGTCTTCTTGAAATTCTCTCTCTCTCCCTCTCCCTGTGCCTCTCCTCCCACTTGTGTGCACATGCTCTCTTTCACTCAAAGAAAGAAAATGTCTAAATAAATAAATAAATAAATAAATAAATAAATAAATAAATAAAATCTTTAGAACAAAAAAAGCCCTATGTTTCTGGGGGGAGGTTGAAACTGCAGTGAGATTATGTATTAAGCCCTGGTTTGGGGATCCCACCATTTGGGGCCTGTGTCTGGTGATATTTTTTTTTAGATTTATTTATTTATTTTTAAAGATTTTATTTATTTATCTAAAATAAAGAGCATGAGCACAAGTGGGGATAGGGACAAAGGGAGATGCAGGCTCTCTGCTGAGCAGGGAGCCTGATGCAGGGCTCAATCCCAGGACCCTGGGATCATGACCTGAGCTGAAGGCAGATGCTTAACCAAGTGAGCCACCCAGGCACCCCAAAAATTTATTTATTTGAAATAAGAGAGAGAATGCATGGAGGAAAGGGCAGGGGTAGAGGATGAGAGAGAATCCTCAAGCCGACTTCCTGCTGAGCACAGAGCCTAACATGAGGTTTGATCCCACGACCCAAGATCAAGACCTGAGCCAAAATCAAGAATCAGTCATTTAACCAACTGAGCCACCCGGCACCTCATTTTTAAAAGATATATTTATTTATTTTAGAGAAAGAGAACATGCAGGGGGAGGGAGAGACAATCTGAAGCCAACTTCACATTAAGCAAGGAGCCCCACACAGGGATCGATCTCACAGCCCTGAGATCATGACCAAGGCCAAAACCCAGGGTTAGATATTTAACAGACTGAACCACCTAAGCGCCCCTGGTGCTTTTTTTTTAACAATTGAATTGTGTTGCTTTCCTGTGTTTTCTATTTCTCTTTTATGTATTTAATTATTTTAATATTATTTTTTCTTAAGATTTTATTTATTTGAGAGAGAACTGAGTAGAGGGAGGGGCAGAGGGAGAGCAAAAGAGGGATAATCAGACTTCCTGTTGAAGAGGGAGCCCAATGAGGGGTCGATCCCAGGACCTGAAGGCAGACACTTAACTGACTAAGCCACCCAGGTGCCTCTATGTATTTAATTATTTTAAAAATACTCATCTTTTAAGTGTCTACAGTTCTTAAGGCACCTGAGTGGCTCAGTTGGTTAAACATTCTGACTCTAGGTTTTGGCTTAGGTCATGATTTCGACTTACAGATTGTGAGATCAAACCCCACATCAGGTTCTGAGCTGGTCATGGAACCTACTTATTAAGACACTCTCTCTTCCTCTCCTCTGCCCCTTTGCCTCTCCCTCCCCAACCCCCAACGTATGCATGTGCTCTCTCTCTTAAAAAAGTAAAATAAAAAATAAAAACAAGTGTCAATAGTTCTTGGGGGTCTAATTTTAATTTTGCTTTCTTTTGTTTCTTCTGACAGTTTCAGTGAACTATTTTTATAATTTAGAATTGTGAACTCCAGTTCAGGAGGGCCTGTGTGGTCTGCATTTAAAGTATGTCCCTTCAGAGATTTGCCTTTACTTCTGCTAGGCAACCTAAAGAGGACCACGTTCATGTCTGGAAAATAAAGAAAGGCAGAGTCCTAGGCAAACTGTAGGAATAACAGATTACCTTTATCTTTTCATCACAGACAGTTTGGTCTCATCCAAAAGGATACATTCTTTCAGGGCCTGGACCAGTTGTTTTTTCACAGAAATTAAGCTAGCCATGTGTCCTACAAGAAGACAGAAGAAAGGGCCAGTCAGAACTGGACAGATGACTTCCCAGCTTACATCACTGGGAGAAAAGTACCAATGAAAGAGGCAGGTCCCCTGACCCAGGAGAGAGTCAGCTTTTTGAATTACTGGGTCTTGCTGCTTAAGGAGATCTGTCAGTCACATTGTTCTATCCTTTGGCTTCAAGGAAGGAGAGATAGGAACTCCTACAGGAATGTTAAAGACTGGGCAGCCCTGGTGGCTCAGTGGTTTAGCACTGCCTTCAGCCCAGGGTGTGATCCTGGAGCCCTGGGATGGAGTCCCATGCCGGGCTCCCTGCGTGGAGCCTGTTTCTCCCTCTGCCTGTGTCTCCGCCTCTCTCTCTCTCTCTCTCTCTCATGAATAAATAAATAAAATCTTTAAAAAGAAAATGATAGAGCTCAACAAGAAAAATAAGCTACCACAGACAAGGCATAATTCTGAATTTCACAGATAACTCAGTTGTCTCTATTTAAATTTGGTTCTTGAGGTCAAAGAGAGAGGAGTATGTCCTGGAAAGTTACAGATCCCTCTAGAAATATAAGCAAGAACATGAATGAGCACATAACACAAAAGCTACAGATTCAGACTCAGTACACATACATTTACTTTTTGAAGGACAATTCTCTTCATTAGTAAAATGATGTATCTACATATCATGATCTTCAAGGTCACCTCTAGCTTCAAACAATTCCCATGATATTTATCACACCTTGCCTCAAAGAATAAATATAAGATAGGTATAAGTTGTTGTAACTCTGGAATAAGATAGCTTTTCCATTTATTAGCTGTGATGCTTTGAGCAAGTTAATTTGCCTTTCTAAGTTCTGTTTTTTTACTCGGCAATGTGTTTAGCATAGGATGAAGATTAAATAATAGATATAACTGTACACATTTATTATTCTATTAAACATAACTACAGTCATTATTATTTCAGAATCAAAAAACTTAAAAAGTATCTGGTTGGTTTTTTTTAATGTTGCTATGTTTATTCGGCCCTTGGTCTATTTCTCTCTATCCTTTCAATATAACAGTAAATAACATTTAACTGAATGGTTACTAGTGTTCTATATATTGTGCTTGTATAAACTTATTTAATCCTTGCAACAATTCCATGAGGGTAGGAGCTCTTAATTTCACCATTTAATAAATGTAGCAACTGAGCATAGATGCCCAAGGTCATACAGCCAGTAAAGCATCAAAACCAGGCACTATGGCTTTAAAGTTCATGTTCTTACCTACTATGCCACAGCCACCTCAACTAGCACACCTAAGCAGATAATTCCCAAATCTAGTATTCTGGTGCTTTGGATCAACATTTCAAAACAAGGCTAAAGCCAGGAGAGTGTTAGAACCAGCCAATGGAATTTCTGTCCCTCTGGGTTCAATTCCAATAGTAAAAGTTACAATGACAAAAAGTACTATATTTGTAAAAATCAGTTGGTAGTGACACAGCAAGGCTCCTGCTAAGAAGTACTCTAAGATAAATTATGTTACATACTGATGGCATAGACTCAAACACATCCTTCCAATGGTAGATTTTTCTATTCCCATTTAGCCTTGTTCCCATCCTCTGGAAGGTAGCTAACATTTACTGAGTGGTTACTATTTTTGAAACTGAGTTTAGGAAAAGACAATTACTTCACCAAGGTAACACAGAGTTGAGAATACAGGATGTAAGACATATATCTTTAAAATCTACTAGGTACTGAGCACCTGTACCAGTATCAAAATATATTACAGGGCAGCCCCAGTGACTTAGTGGTTTAGCACTGCCTTCAGCCCAGGGCATGATCCTGGAGAACTGGGATCGAGTCCCATGTCAGGCTCCCTGCATGGAATGCCTTCTTGTGTCTCTGAGCCTCTCTCTCTCTCTCTCTTTCTGTGTATGTCTCCATGAAAAATATATTATAAATATTATTATTTTATTCAATCCCCATTGCACACCATTCAACCTGTTCACCCAAAAGCCATAGAGTCATCTTCAACTTCTCTTTCCCTTTCATGATACACATGAAATACCTTACTTGTCTTTACTATGTATACCAAATGCAATCATTTATTGTTTTCACCACTACTACTCTCATCAAAGCTACTATAACCTCTTTCCTGAATGAATGCAATAGTGCCCTAGCAGTGCTTTCTTCTACCTTGCCCCCTCTATAGCCTGTTCTGCACAAAGGAATCAGAAGTGATCCTTCATGGTTTCACTCACAGAAAAATCCTGAAGTCCTTGCCCCAGACTACAACATCCTCCACTCTCTGGTATCTGCTTACTTCATCTACCAAACCTCCCCCTACCTTTGCTTGTCCACTCCAATGACAGTGACCTGTCCTTTACTGTTTCTCAGTAAAACACCAACTGTTCTTCATCCCCAGGTAGTTTATATTTATTATTCCTTCTGCTTGAAATGCTTTTCTTTATTGCATTCAGGACTTCACTCAAAATTCACTTACCAAAAAAGACATCACTCCTCTTTCTGTGTAAAATACCAGATTCCAGGGTGGCCCGGGTGGCTCCACAGGTTTAGCCCTGCCTTCAGCCCAGGACGTGATCCTGGAGACCCAGGATCGAGTCCCACATGGGGCACCCTGCATGGAGTCTGCTTCTCCCTCTGCCTGTCTCTCTCTCTCTCTCTCTCTCTCTCTCTCTCTCTCTGTCTCTCATGAATAAATAAATAAAATCTTTAAAAAATATATACCAGATTCCAGCATACTCTATCCCCTTAGGTTGCTTTATTTCTCTTCACAGAGGCTAACCAGAAATAACTGCTCTTCCTGTGTTCTGTAAAAATCTAAGACTATGCTCAGAGCTTATAGAAGAGTAATTTCTGAAAACAGAAAAAAAAGTCTATAAAGGGAGGAAAAAGACAAAAGTCTAGTTAAGAGAAGTGAGTACTACATTCACAAACAGTATCTCTAAGAAAAAATTAGAACTCAGAATTGATGGTTCTGTGGTGTACCAAAGAGTACCAGGACTCCCACCCTCCACAGATTCCTGAACCCCACTGTGGCACAGAAGCAAAAAATTGTCATCTTTTAACAAAACACTGTATATGTGAAAAAACATCCACATATTATCAGCAATGATTCTGACAAAGTCAAAGATAGAGGTGTTCCTTCTATTTTCTGGGGTCCTTGTTATATGTTACTGCAGACTATGGTAGGAACTTTGCTTGGTCATGATGACCAAGAGTAACTTTCTCACTAGCACAGCAGGAAAGAGACTCTAAGACAGACTTTATTTGAATAAAAAAAATTTTAAATACACTGCTTCTTGCTTAGCAGGATTTAGATTTCACTTAATACACATAAATTGAATCAACCTTCTTCAAATATTTAAATGATTCCACACCACAGTTTGTATTTCTCTATTCCTTTCTTATTCTCTTCTCTCATAGTTTGCTGGCTTTTGTCAGTGATATACTTTGATTTCTTTATTTTTTGCCTATCTATCACTGGTTTTGGTCTGTAGTTACCATTATGTTTATATACAACATCTTATGCATATAGCAGTCTATATTAAGTTGATAGCCATTTAAGTTTGGAACTATTTGACAAGCACTAGGTTTTTATTCCTCTGCCCCACATTTTAGGTGAATCCTTTAATTGTGTTTACTGATTTTTATAGATATACTTAATTTCACTGCTTTTAAGCTTTCTACTTTTCTTACTCCTGTTAATGGTTGTTCTTTTCCACTTGAAGTCCCGTTTAATATTTCTTATAAGGCTAGCTTAGTGGTAATAAATGCCTTTAATTTTCATTTCTCCGGAAAACTGTCTCTCTCCTTCTATTCAGAATGATAGCCTTGCTGGATAGAGAATTCTTGGCTGTAGGTTTTTTCCTTTCAGCACTCTGAATATATCATGCCACTCCCTTCTGGCAGGTAAAGTTTCAGCTGATAAATCAGAAGGGGTTCTGTGTAACTGTCTTTTCTTTTGCTGCTTTAAAAATTCTCTTTTATACTACTTTTTGTCATTTTAATTACTGTGTGTCTTGCTGTGTACCTTCTTGGGTTGAATTTGTTGAGGGCTCTCTGTGTCTCCTAGATCTGGATTTCTGTTTCCTTCCCAGATTTGGGAAGCTTTCAGCTTTTATTTCTCCAAATAAATTTTCTGCTCCCTTTTCTTTCTCCTCCTTCTGGGAATCCCTTTAATGCTAATGTTTCAATGCTTGATGGTGTCACTGAATTCACTTAATCTATTTTCCTTTTTTATTATTATTTTTCTCTCTTCTATTCAGCTTGATTGCATTCCATTACTCTGTTCTCCAGGTTGCCAATCCATTTTCTGCTTCCTGTAGTCTAATATTTATTCCATCTAAGAATGGAATCTTTCATTTCAATTACTGAGTTCTTCATCTCTCAATGGTTCTTTTTTTATGCTTTCTATCTCCCTTTTGAGGGTCTCATTGAGATCCTCCGCTCTTTTCTCAAGTCCTGTGAATATCTTTAACACTATATTAAATCCCCTAACAGCTATATTACTTATCTCTGTTCCATTTAGGTCTCTTGCTGTGATTTTGTCCTATTCTTTTGTTTGGAACATATTCTTCCATCTCCTTATTTTGTCTACATCTCTTGATCTGTTTCTATATGTTAGGAAAGTTAGCTACATCTCCTGATCTTGAAAGTAGTGACCTTATGAAAAAGAGACCCTGTAGTGTTCTGCAGCGTAATGTTCCCTGTTCACCAGAATCTGGGTTTTTTAGGGGTGTCTCCTCTGTGTGTGTGTTGCCTGAGCCCTACTGTTATGGCTAAGCCATAGTTCCTTCAGTCCAATCATCTGCCATAGCTTTCTTTGCCTGTTGTGAGCAGGGTTTGGTCTCTGTGTTAGTAGGCCAGTCTGAGGCCACTTGGGGCTTGAGCTGGGTCAGACTAAGCATTTGCCAGATCTGCAGTAAAACTAAACTGCATGGCATTTTCACTGTACTTTTCTGGGCTATTTATACTGATGCAGGTATTCTCTAGTTGTATCTGTG